GTGGCAGTCATGTCACTCATACATAGATGTCAAATGCTGTAGTGAGGGTGAGATTATCTACTCAAATCGAGGTTCAGATCAGATACACAACATAAAATAATTCAGGTGCATGAACACAGTAATGGCACTTCTAAATGAACTAGTCGGCCAGCAGTGGGCACTTCGAAATGAACTAGTTGGTCACCTGTGGGCACTTCGAAATGAACTAATCGGCCAGCAGTAGGCACTTCTAAATGAACTAGTTGGCCACCTGTGGGCACTTCTAAATGAACTAGTCGGCCAGCAGTGGGCACTTCTAAATGAACTAATCGGCCAGCAGTGGGCACTTCTAAATGAACTAGCCGGCCAGCAGTGGGCACTTCTAAATGAACTAGCTGGCCACCTGTGGGCACTTCTAAATGAACTAGTTGGCCACATGTGGGCACTTCTAAATGAACTAGTCGGCCAGCAGTAGGCACTTCTAAATGAACTAGTTGGCCAGCAGTGGGCACTTCTAAATGAACTAGCCGGCCAGCAGTGGGCACTTCTAAATGAACTAGTTGGCCACCTGTGGGCACTTCTAAATGAACTAGTTGGCCACCTGTGGGCACTTCTAAATGAACTAGCTGGCCAGCAGTGGGCACTTCTAAATGAACTAGCCGGCCAGCAGTGGGCACTTCTAAATGAACAAGGGAGCCAGCAGTAGGCACTTCTATATGAACTAGTTGGCCAGAAGTGGGCACTTTTAAATGAACTAGCCAGCCAGCAGTGGGCACTTCAAAATGAACTAGTTGGCCACCTGTGGGCACTTCTAAATGAACTAGTTGGCCACCTGTGGGCACTTCTAAATGAACTAGTCGGCCAGCAGTGGGCATTTCTAAATGAACTAGTCAGGCCAGCTGGGCACTTCTAAATGAACTAGTTGGCCACCTGTGGGCACTTCTAATTGAACTAGTCGGCCAGCAGTGGGCACTTCTAAATGAACTAGCCGGCCAGCAGTGGGCACTTCTAAATGAACTAGTTGGCCACCTGTGGGCACTTCTAAATGAACTAGTTGGCCACCT